TACAGATTTGTGGATTTTTTACACATTTGCAAAACGGATTACACACAAGTAGTTTTACACATTTGCAGATTGTTGTACAGACATACAAATCTCCTCACACATTTACAGATTTATTTACACATTTTCAAATCCCACTGCACACGCACAAATTGAGATACAGACACACAACTCTCCACACACATTTGCAAATATTAAAGCTACCATTTTGGCCCCATATGTAATTAATTAGATAAAATTAATTTAAAAAAAGGAGTAAAAAATCTGGAAGCAGGATAAAACGTAGGGAGATGAACTAACTTCCTCTCTTTGATGACCTGTTGGACGATCTAGAAGACGTGGACCACTGCTTGGTGAGCTCCCCTCGTGTTTCCAGAGAGTCTCCAAGCTTTCCTCGCGTTCCCTCGGCCTCTGCAGCCAACCCCAGGTTATCTCCTGCCTGTTCCTGCTCCTGGCCTGCAGACGAGCCATTGGTCTCTGCCCCGCCCTCCTCACTGAGGCTGTACTGGGCCATCTTCTTGGCCAAAGCTAACTGGGTTTCCAGCTCGAGCTGCCGGATGTCCTCGATGGTGAGACCATACCACTCGTCCTGCCAGCACCACGCTTGCCGGTGGGCTCGGACCATCACTTTACGCAGACCTGAAACAGAAATTCATCACATCAATCTAATTTGTTGTTAAAAATGTTTGTAGCTGAATATTAGTTGGAAATTAGCATTAACTTTTGTGCATCACATCATCAGCAATCATTGTTTATTAATGTGGCTAATCCCACTGTTAAATTAATAAATTAATTTAGTTAAAGAGAATACGAAGAAGAGAGGATATTCTCCTTTACATTTTTCTAGTTTATCATCCTAGAACTGACCAAATACTATTTAAGAATGTAGCAGCACTGGACCCTTCTCTACCAGTTCATAATAAACCTGTTAAAGCTTCCCCTGGTCTCTCTGTTTGGTTTTCTGCATGTGGGTCAGATCTTAGAAATAAATCATGACAAAAACAGATAAAGTGCAAATGTCTAATCTCGTAATGTTTTGACTTTATTCTCATAATTTTTACAACTTTATTTTTATAAAGTTACGACTCAATTCT